CTGGTTGGTGCTGGAATGGCTGGGCTATAGGAGGTCAAATGTCTGGTCAGTTGACACTTAGCCAAAGACGATGAGTGACAAACATTCACTGATTGATCAGCAGTGTTTGTCTGTATTGACCAGCCATCAAATGGCTCCATTTGGCAAGTTTTCCCCGTATCTAATCTGACGCTGTGTTTGTGACGGTCGTGTTGGAGCTGATGTTAAAAAAGCTCCAGCGTGACAACACAGTTGAGTCTGGACCAGGTGTGTTCATTAGGTGTCAGCCGCCTAGTTCAGATGTGGTGTACGGACACATCCTCAGGTTTAGCTTTTGACACAAACAGTGAACAAAGTGTTGTTTGACATCTTCTGTGGTCCAATCCCACAAACTCTGTCAGAGAACACATCAGCAGCCAGCCGTCTGACCCACAGCGGCGCTGCTGTGATTTAGAGTTTGTTCTTACGTTCACATTAGGCTTGATTAAAACCATATGTCAAAAATGTGGTGTGTTTGCTCCATTCCCTTCATCATCTTTTAGTGCTGTTTTTCAAACCACTCCACAGGCCCGGCAAAGAAAACAAGACTTCTTGGGCTTCTGTTCCCTTCTAAACAGATCCTGGCTGATCTGGGAACACCAATTTCCGCTCTGCGTCTCTCCCCACGGGGCTGACCCAAGGGAACCAAATGGGCCCCGCCAAGCCATTTTGTGTGGCCCACGGGAACTTAAAAAGCATTTAGTAAAGTCCATGCAGCAGAGTTTCTTCACCTGAGAAATTAAATGTTTTTATAATCAATCGAATAATAATCATTACATTTTCAAAATAAAACATATTTTAGACTCTATTCTGTTAGTATCAGAGTCTGAATTATCTTTTGCCAGATTATCTTTTAATAAAGGTTTACGTCGGACTGATGTAGTGGTAACATCATATTCTAACCATCATAATATTTTGCTGATCATACACACGTGTGTGTGTGTGTGTGTGTATCCCTTAACTGTTTCAAATAAAAAACCCAAACAAAACAAACAAAAACAAACCAAAAAATCTAAGATTCACGAAAAAACAAACAAAAACAAACCAAAAAATCCATGAGTTTCACGAAGAAAGGCAAAAAAAAAACAACAGAAATGAAAAAAGTGAACGTAGCTGTTGTTGAGTCAATGTTACATTGCACATGCACTGATATTTTGAGCGGGTTATAAAGGAAAAAAGCTCGACCCGATAGGTTTGGTTTTATTTGGGGGTTTTTAGCAGGTAGGCTGTGTTAACAACCAGATGGACAAATCTGTTTTTTATAGGACCGTGTGCGCCCTTACCCATTCACAGTGACAGCACACACAGACCTTTAGCAGCAGAGCCATATGTTAAAATAGACCCCAGCGTTCTGGGTCGGTGTTAAGGGTAAAATTCAAGCCCATTGTGCTGCATTGGTGTGTGTGAAGTGTGGGAGGTGATGTATCTGCTTTCTCTTTAACCTCCACTACATCATACCATTCTGACCTTCTTTGCAAATGCTCCCCTTCTCCATTTTGCTAAAAAAGTGCAAGCATGTCTTTTCCAGCCCGTTTTCTTCTTTCTTTATCCTTGCCTAGCAAAGATAAAGCTCACTCTTCCTCTTGCTTGTTGTGATGCCACAGCCGTGCAGACACCTTTCCCTTCTGCTGACTCAGTAGACAGCCTCAGGCACTTTAGGCTTTGGGGTGTTGTTGACGGAGGAGGAGGAGGAATGGGAGGAGGAGGAGGAAGGAGGAGAAAGGAGGAGGAGGTGAGGCTCCCATATCAGGCCTACCAGCCTATCACATGCGAGGAAAAAGAGCTGGCTAATCGTTTCTACAATGGCACCCTGCACACCATCACACAGCAGCAGCACAAGCCAACACTTTGGTCCTGTTTTATGTAGCTGGAGCTGTGGAAATACAAGTGCACGCGCGTTTGAACAAAGACTTTCACTAATGATATGACTGAAAGACGTCACTATTTAAATGCAGAAAAACACATTCAGACGGACAAACTGTGCTTTCACTTCAGCTCACACTCCTCCTGTTATTATATGTATGTCTTATATTATTTTCCTTGTTCTAGTCTTCTAATCTAATATATTTCATCTGGTACTAAATCAGCCGTATTAATACATTTTGTGCCATATTTTCTATGCTTTGGCTACGTATCTTTTTTTGCATAAATGTAATATATATTTAGACTTGATTTTTAAATATTACTTGACCTTATATTTTGCTAACTTTTAGCTATGGGTGTGTAATTTTGGAATATCTTCTTGGTCAACACAACTGTAATTCTGCTCTTAATTTATATATATATTTACTTTTGTTTCATTTTGGATAACAATAGTCCTAACATCATGTATAGTCTTAGTAAAAAGGCATCTTTTGTCTGTCTGCTTTTAATAACCAACAACAGCAGATTTTTTTTCTAAATGTATACATTACACTACAGTGCTTAAATATCACTGGAAAAGCCTGGCCCCCTTTTTTATAGCAAAGCAAATCCCACCCCACATACATTTGTTATAATATCTGTAAATATACAGTAAATCAGTTCCCATCTATATCAGGCCCAGGTGTTTCTGTATGTGTGGGGTTTTCACGTGTATTCCCAGTTTTCTCCGAGTTCAAATGTATCAAGAAACCAGGACAGTCCGGTTGCCCATAGATCTGGGCTGCACTGTGCACCACCACCTTAAATCACACTACAGCCCTGAACACAACAGCGTAGAAGATAAATAGATGGACAGATGGACAGAAATGAAAATGAAAGAAAAATGATTTTCTTTTTTTAATTCTAAGGATGATTAAAGATCCTGCTCACAAGTATGATGCAGAAAAACCCGGGTACAGCTTGATCACGCCGTAAATGCAGCCTTTTGCCATATACAGTAAAAGAGCCCCTGATTAATGATCTCCCCAGTAACATAGCATCATTTTCTCTGCTATAACCATCTGGCTATTTTCTGCTGTATCTGCGATGCACACAAACTCAGTGGTCTACGTCAGAGCCTCCCCGAGCAGACGGCCCGACCTTCAGGGATTAGGCCTGTTTTCAGACAGAATGAGCATTTGCACCTGTGATATGATTTCAGAGCTGTGTTTTGTTTTGTTTTTTCACTTTGCAGACACGAGGTGAGGTCAAAACTTTGTGAAAGGGTGGCCACACTTAAGAGAGGCACCTGGTTTCTAGGCTTGAGCCTGCGGTCATTACTGAGCCACCTGCCTAAAATAAGAATTTCTGTACTGCAGACGGTCGGTCACGGAGGTTATACACTCATTCTACAATGCACTGATATTGAACACATTATCAATGCATTCAAACTTTTAGATTTGTGCAAATACAATGGCATATTTTAACAGAGAGCAGTTTGCGTCCACACATTTTGCAGGAGGACTGTTCTGAAAGTGGTGTTTGCAGGTGGGCTGGACGGCTACTTCTCTGCTCTGTGTCAATGAAGTCGGAGGTGACGCATACGTGTGAGGAAGAGAGCAGAGGGGAAGCCTGTTTTCCACTGCATTTTATCTGTGGCCCACAGCCTCGGCTCCACCAGTGTGCTCTCACATGCCTTGTCCCACAGGAAGAACACTTGGTGAAGGACAAAGGTCAGGAGAGGGGAGAAAGTCACTCATCCCTTTCATTCAACACGAGCACTGACAAATGCAAAGTCATTGTTTCTGCCTGATTGAGGTAGCTGTCCAGTTAGACTGATATAGACATGTGACATTGTCTTAAAAAAAATGACTGTCAAGATTTTCAAAGATTTCCTAACCCTGAAATCATCAGTTCACAGTCTGCTAACAGGAAACGTGTCACATTTTTGGATGTGAGCTCGACTGAGGTGGACCACAAGACAAGGAACATATATTCTTTTTGCTTGTTTTATACAAAGACAACATGGTGGATGTCATGGAGGTGTATCATGGTCCATGTAACGGAGGATCTACATAGATGCATCTGAACGTTACAGAGACATGTGCCGCTGAGGAGGTGACTCACTACAGGAACTGTATGGAATTTTACTGGAACACGGTCAGGCCTGAGACTGCTCAAATTACAACAGTCTCACTGCTTAGGAATAAAGTGCATGAATGGCCTGCCTGCAGTCCAGAAATGTCACCTTTTGAAAATGCAGTTGTTAATGTGAAACAACCCTTTAAAAATGTTGACAAATGTTGTTGTAACAATTAGCGCCATTACTCTCTAAGTGGTTAAAAAGTGTAAGACAAAGTTAAAGGGATGTGACCCAATAGTAAACCTAACTAATTAACTTTCATGAAGGGTGTTGTGGCCCCACTTTCTACCTAGTTTTATGTTTAACACATGCAGTGAAGTGTGACTGCGATCTTTCATCCAGAATCTGATAAGGTGCGGAATATGGAGAGGTTTAATTGTATCCCACCTTTATTTCTGGTTGTGTAGTTAACCAATAAAACAGATGAATTGGGCCACATGCTGTTGACTGCAGGAAACATGCAGATCCATGCAAATGACTGCACACGGGTAAAGGGCATTGGTCAGAACATGTGACTGAGACACGTCTCCTCTTCAAACCTATGCCCTCTTTGTACCCACAGTAAGTTAATGTGACGTGGACGTCGAGACTGTGACCCGAGAGTTTAGCCTGCTTCCTTAATGGATGTAACTACGTTGTAACAACTAAGTAGTTTCAAACCTGAATGTGACATCAGGTTAATGTTTTTTTAAGTGTTTGACTTCCATGTCAGAGGGCTATATGTTATTATCTTTGTCTTATAATAATGATAATAATATAAAAGGGAGTTTTCTGTACGCAGGGCAAAAAAAAAAAAAATTACTGACTTCCATTTTTCTCGCTTCAACCACATCGATTTGCCCTGAACCCAGATGGCTTAAGTTAATTTACTAAAAAAAAATCTATTTTTGAGAAACAATCAAATATGCTGTAAATAAATATGGAAACAGTAAAGCGAAATGTGCAAGTGAGGCAGATCCTGTACTTTTGCAATAACTTGTCAGCAGCACAGACACCATTTTAAAAAGTCACATCTTAGGTTTATTGATCCACAGTAAATGAAAAACATTTTTATATTGTTGCATATTATTCTTAAAGAAATAACAAAGAAAAACCTGTCCAGCAGAATCACCTCTCTTAAAAATATCATGAATAAAATTTATCTGTTTTTTTTTTTAGTACGTTTTACTTTTTCTAAGGAAACAAAACAGAAACCCACCCATTGAACTTCGGAAAGGAGGAAAGGAAAGTAATCTAAATCATCAGAAAAAGAAAATAAAAATAAAAACTGAGCAGTAACTGATGCAGAGGGATCAAGGATAAAATGGTGTAGTCATCAAAAGGGAATATTCTTTGATTTCAAGTACCACCTCTTAGACAAATGCCTTAGACAAAAACGCCCGCATAACATACAAAGAATATAAAGTCCTCATACATGTCCTGCATGCATGCTTTATAGTAATTCTCAATTCATAGCTCGTTGCCTTGTTAATTATATTAGTCGTGTCCTTTAGGGCTGCAACCATTTATTGATTGGTTTGTATTGATTTAAACTGAGAGACAATCGACAGGGATTTCATAATCAGTGATTTTATAAAATAAAATTCTGATTCTTTAGCTCCAGTGTTGTGAATATGTGCTAGTTTCTTTGCTCTATTTCCAGTAAATATCTTTCTTTCTTTTTTTGGACAAAACAAAAAGCTCTTGATCAAACAACTTATGCATTATATCAAATAAATGGCTAATCGGAAAACTGATCGGAATCATAAAAAACATGAATCGATAATTATTTTGTGTTAGTTGCAGCCCCCAAATACCACAGAGCAACAGTATTCATAGGTGGACGCATCCTGAGGACAGTTGTTGAGTCCACATGCAGAAAAATTCCACACACTCACATTAAATACTCGGGTGAGGACGGGTTGTCACTAGTGGAGCCGGTTTCGTGGAAGCAGTTGGCACCGGACAGTTTCTCGCACTTTAGTTTGTAGGCGTCCCTCTCCCGGACCAGTCTGTTCAGTTCGTGTTTCAGCTGCTCCACTTGGGACACCAGGCTCGTCTTCTCGTGCTCCAGGATATGCTTCTGCTGGACGCGCTTGTAACGGCACGACTGCGCGTAGCCTCGGTTTTTCAGGGTCCGGCGCTTCTGCTTCAGACGCATCACCTCGTCCTTGCTCAGGCCCCTGAGGAGCCGGTTCAGCTCCCGGACTGACATGGACACTAGCTGGTCGTCGGAGAAAGGGAGGTCGCCCATGGACTTCCGGTCGTGGCGGCTTTGCTGCTGCTGCTGTTGCTGCTGAAGATGGTGGTGGTGGTGATGGTGCGCACCGAAGACCTGCGGCTCCCCTGGAGACTCGGGGGACGCGCTACCCTGCTCATCTTTTAGATAAGGATCCTGGCAGTGTGCACCAGGCATGCCCGGTATGTCGGGGTGACCCGGTAAACCTGGGTACTGTTGGACGGACTCGCTCAGGTGACCGTATCCCTCATATTCGGCTTGGAAAGGCGGTAGATGATGGTTGTGGGGCACTGACGGGTGTCCTTGCTGAGCCGTGGCTCCGATGAGGGCCTCCACGGCATCCTCGGGTGTGAGGCCAAACGGTTGCGGGTACATTTGCTGTGGGTAACCCCCGTTGCTGTGTATCCAGAAGTGTTCGCCGCCGGGGTTGTGTCTCTGCTCGTTTGGATGCAGGTTCGGCGAGGAGGGCACAGAATTGCAGGGGGTGCTGCCAGGAGTGGATGAGACAGAGTCTGGCCTCTGGAGCTGGCTGCACGGTCCGATAAAGGAGCGGTCCCCCCCCTGCATCGACTCCTTCTTCACTCCGAACTTCAATAGGTCGAAGTCGGTGACGAAATCCATTGAAGGTTTCTGCAGCCCCAGATGTGAGTGCGCTTCGTCGCTCATGTTCAAATGTTGGGAAAATACTCACTTCAAGGAGCTTCAGACGTTCACATGCAATCAGAGAATGCGCACTCACTGGGTGGAAAAATGTGCAGAAATCCCAAACTTTTAAACCAGGTCAGATGTAAAAACACATGCGTGCGTAAAAGCCTTGACGCGCAGTGACTGTTCGCCGAGCGCTGAGTATAAAGGGCAACGATGCTCTAGCTGCTCGGGTTCAGTGCACTTACTTCATAAAGCTGTATTTGCATGATGTCACGCCTTCCAGACGACACCTCCACGCTGCACTCCAATGAAAACAACGTGGACACAGTCATTTGCATAAAAGCTGCTCTCAGTGGGTTGAGCTGTTCGTGATGGTCATTTGACCAAATCCTATAAATGCGCAGTATAAGCACTGGCCGCAGCACATTCACATGATCTCACCTGTCCTTCACTTTACAAGTAGCCAACACCCACGCGCCCGGTCCTGTTCTAGGTCCATAATCCCGTCTAAATGTCACTTTTCACACAATTTATATAAAAACATGGATAAATTCATATTATAGTTCAAATCTGACCTTTACTTATTTTCTGAATTATAAATCGTGACCACAACATGTTTTGACAAAACAAAAAGGAGGCTGTAGAACATTTCCGGTTACACTAAGAGGCGATCCAAACTTAGTACTACTCTGGTAAATACTGACATCTAGTGACCGACAGCCTATACTAACGTCTGAGGTACAAACGTTTTTTACTCATGATATCAGCAATTTTTAGTGTCCAGTTAGCAGATTAAATATATAGAAACGTTACAAAATAACTGCCGAGGAACGACAGTGGTAATGTTTCCATAGTGTAAATATATGTAGATTTTGTTCGTGATATATGATGCTAGTGCTGTGGTTTTGTTTTTTTATTTTTATTCTTTTTACCTCCTACTTTTTAAAACTGTCTTATTTATTCTTGTCTCATGCATTTTCATTCTCATGATAAATAAACAACTTTTTTGTTTTGTTTTTTGTTGTCAACAACTTTTTTTGTTTTGTTTTTTGTTGTCATGGCAACAACAGCTTTTCTGGGCCTTTTATTTTTTATTGAGAAATAACTTGTGAGACTATACACATATGCCTGCCTCCACTGACATGATCCAAACACAGTCTTTATTTATATAAATAGCTCAACTTTGCATGTCATAATTTCTAGAATTGTAAAGAACATCTGTTTATCTCCACCAGACTGAATCAAGCAGCAGAAAATAGCAGAAGGTTTAGTTGTAAAACCAAATCACAGCATAAGTCACCCAGTTTAACCTCCACATCACGGTTGTAGGCTCACCCCGAAACTCCGCTTCAGTACTTCTTCTTTTTTTCCCCTTTACCAGTAACTGTAAACACTTCCCACCCAAGTGACCAATACTTCCAAAGTAAAGAGAAGTTGTATGACGGTCAGATGGCAGGGTTCAGCTGCGCACTATACAATGTGCGTCAATATCACAGCACAGATCTGTCCGCTCCATTTCTCCATTTTATTTCTTTCTTAATCTTACTTTATTTAAAAAAAAATCCCTAGCTAGCTCAGTGAACTGGTGCTATTAATGAGGCCACGTTGTAACTACCGAGCTTCTGTGAGCAGCGTAAGGTGAAACTGGTTGAGTGGGAAAACAAATACGTTTACGGAGGAGCGGTGTTGACACTGTTTCTATTCACTCAAATAACCAATATAATGATCTTTTTGACCATTTTAATTTTGCATGGTTTTGTCTCCCTCTTCTGGCTGCTCTTTTAAAGACACAGCAGTCCACCTGCCTTTCTCTCAACCTTCACCAAGCCTGTAAGTTTCACAAATCTTCCAGTGTGATATGTCCTCCATGGTCTGTCCTTCCTGACGGCTGAATGTGTAACGTCCTGTGATCTAATATCATCCCAGCAGATGACTAAACCAACCACTGATCTGATCATTATAGCTAATCTTTTATTGTTCTGCACACTCTTCTTCAGCTTCAGCTCTGGTGAGCATGTTAAATGACCACATATGAATTCTTTGTTTATAAAGATAGAGAGACCTTTGCAGTCGATTGGTGACTTCATGACATACAATTTTTAACCCCTTTAATCGCAAACTCTCAACCCTGGACATTTGGAGGACTGAGTCAGAAAATTACTCAGGAAAATAAAGTGTGACAAATTACTGAGCCGATTACAGCACTGTGATCCTGAGTTCTGACATTTGTACAGCCTACAGCAGATGACCCCAACACACAGGGCTGGGGACCAGTACTGGGCAGTTTGGTAAAATATACTTACACTTGCACACTAACACTAAACACAATCACTTGCGTCCATTCCTATCTTTAGCGCTTGACTTGGTTCCAGTTTCTTAAAGCACAGATAAGCCTTCAAATGAACTTTTGCAAAAATGAGTAAAAGATAAATGTCACTGCAGAGCTTCTTTAATAAGACAGAATGACCTAATGATGAGTCAGCAGAAGGCTCCACAACTGCCACCAAAAAGCTGCATTTAAAAGAAAATACCCAGAGTCCTAAAAAGTGTACAATAGAAAACAACAATTATATTTAAACCATACTGTGTACAATAATTCAATTAAATATGATGTGCTGTTATGGCCCTAGTACTCGTGTGTTGGGGTATGTGTTTTGTGTATATGTGTGGCTCTGGTCTCTCTCTCTCTCTCTCTCTCTCTCTCTCTCTCTCCCCCCAGCTCCAGCTGAATGCAGGTAAGGGGCAAACATGGTTGTTCCTTCCGTTGGCTTTTATAAACTCACCAAGACTGTAGTCTGAAATCTGTCTTCACCCCCGGAAATGTAACTCTGCTGTCCTTCCTTCATCCACAGGACATACCATGGAGGTAACATGCACTTTATTGTCCTCTGTTATGTGTGTGTGACCTTCCTTCACTCACACATACACACACCCTGCCACTGTCCGTGGAAGGTTTGTCTTGCGTAAAACCGGTCTGTTGTGCAAAAAACGGAACCACTGCCACTACTGATGACGAATCCCTGCTGTCCTGATCAGCCAGGTCTGTCAACACACTGGTGGCAGAAGTGTACTTGGTCCAAAAGGGTTAACTGGTGTTGCCCTGGGGTCATCCTCTCAGCCTGTGCTTATACTCCAAACACAGCAATGGCCTTAGGGCTTTTATGGGCCGGCCACCACTGCTCACGGCCCATAAACCTGTTCAGATTGCATGATAATCTGGTCTAATATTTGCATGTTATTGCGCAAAGGCAGATTTTTCATTAAGTTGCAACATGTGTTCACAGTTTACAGACAGACAAGTGAGTTTTTCTCTTTGGTAAAAAAACAACAACTCTACTCTACTTATACTTTTGTCTATAGTTCGAGGTTTAATTTAGCTAATGCTTGAATCTTGTTTTAGAAGGCACAGAATAAGCCACTTAATTTATTGGTTCTCCAAAAAAGACAGTAAGCAGGGCCAGAGCACATTCTATTCAAGTCAGGATTTGATGTGACCATGACTGAGGCATTGACTGACTATCACAGAATGCAACCCTGAACCTGAGTGGATTAGAAGGAGCTCATCACTCAGTGAGTCCACATTATTGTAACGGAATCTGAAAAATGAACAGCACTGGACGAACTAAAAGCACATTAAGTGTTTATTGTGACTTCTAGTGCATTGGCACTAAAACTGGTATAAATCCGCACTGTACTTCCTGTTTACTAGACACACATACCTACCAGATAGGGTTTGCCAAAACAAACAAGGTCACTGATGAGCAATGGTAAAGTGGACAAAGTAATGAAACAAATAATAAAATGGGGTTAGGGTTAGGAAAAAGATTAATAAGAGTTAAAAATAAATATCAGTTAAAAATAACGTCAGTGGTATCAAACGTCTTAATGTTGCACCCTTCAACTTTGTTGCTCTTTCTTTATGTGTACACAACATTAATCCCTCATGGTAGCAGGGCTCCATGTGTTTCAGAGCCTATTTTGTAAACATGAAGGGACATATGGAGACGTGCTTCCTGCTTGCTGTCTTATCCAGTGGAAGCGAACATGGAACGAACAGGCAGTGTAAGAAGAAAAGCCTTGGTGAGGCAGCACAAGGCTGAAATCATGATCGCTGGAGAACAACTCAGGTAAAAAGAAGGGGAATTTAGGGGAACAGTTATTTAGAACAGACACTGAATGTCAGCCGTATGTTACAGGTATATATGACTGATACGTTCTTAAGTCTGGCTGATGACAACTAACTTACGTTCAAGGTTGAGACTTCATGACAGCAAACTAATAAAGGAGCGGCGTTACCACCTGCGCACATATCCTAACTGCTTTGTCGCACAGGAGCTCATTGACTGGCTTTTGAGCCATAAGGAGGCTCCAGACCGGGCAACAGCGGTCTGTCTCATGCAACATCTAATGGACCATGACATTTTCCATCACGGTAAGAAGGAGGCAGTCAAACAAGTTTCTGCTGTGAACAACTTCAACCCTAAAGCTTTGTAAAAGTGATTTAAAAACTGTCTTCTACCTTTTTTCAGTCTGTGATAAGAGGTCAGTTTTCAAAGATGCCAAACTGCTCTACCGCTTCAGGAAGGATGATGGAACATTTCCATTCAACATTGAGGTGAAAATCTTCATGCGGGGACAACGACTATATGAACAGTACGAGCTCTTTTATAATTGCTACATGCTGCTGGTTTAAACCTTAGACTAAGTCAGGAATGAACGTGGACTTACAATACAATTACTGTGCTCTGACACAGACCTACTTTTAGTAAGTATTCCACAGAAATACAAAGGTCAGTTTCACACTTGGTCATGTCTATATACTGTAAGGCCACATATAAGACTAAGTGTTTCTTTGTAGTGTTTATGTGAACTTTTTTTCAGCCAAGATTCAGATTTTACATTATAAAAATCCTATGGCACATCACAAAAAATAGCCCAAAATGTATATGCAAATAAATATGATTTTATGAAATAATGATGTCATTTAGTTTTAACTTACTCACAAATGTACTTACTGAGCATTAAATCCTGGCCAGTTTAATTAAACACAACCTCAATGTAGTCGCAGGAATTGAAGAAAGAAACACACAGCGATCTTCTTCAACAGCTCTGAGTCTCTCTCTCCCTGTTTTACATTTTATATCCATCTGCTGCCACAGCAACATCATTGTCCTTTGGAGAGCAAACGTTTTTTGTATTTGTATGTTCTTGTAAGTCTCATAGTGGACAAGGACTCTATTTTGCAAGTCAGAGAGGAACATGGCGTTTCTTATCAGCGCGCCTTCCCTGGCTGCCAGATGATAGACTGGCTTATTCAAAATGGAGAAGCAGAGAGTCGACGTCGGGGGCTGGACTTGTGCCGTGCCTTACTAGAGCATGGTATTATTCAGCACGGTAAGGAGAGGAGCAACCAAGGGATGCACAATTCCGATATTTTTCATCCATTACCAATAACTTGTTATAATATATTTTTCAATAATATTTCTGAATCTTATACTGCCTTACTTTGTATTGTTAATATAAACTCTGAATGTATATACATTCTTTGATTTGAAAAATATGAGGTCCATTGAGACAAATGTGTTTTGTGAATTCAGACTTGACAAAGAATTAAATTAAATTAACTTGACTGGATATCATTATCTCATCTAAATGGTTCCAAATGTACATTTTTTTCTCCATGGCTTAATGCAGACAAACACACATTAATGACTGTATAAGTGTATAACAAGATGTGAAGTAGGTTTTATGAACATCTTTCCAATATTACTGAGACCAGTGATTATATTAACAAAATGCTGAATTTAAATACAAAGAGATAGATTTTTACTTCATGAAATCATAAATTAAAAATGATCCTGGAAACTAACCATTATTTGTGTTTCTTTGTCTTTCTGTGTCTCATCAGTGGCAAATAAGCATGATTTCTTTGACAGCGGACTTCTGTACCAGTTCTGCATCAATTTTCGACGCAGGCGCCGTCTGTCTGAACTGTTAAATGAAAGCGACCAAGACAATGAGGACAGTTTGACAACACCGACACCAGAAGACAACCACTGTGACAGTCCCTTTGTTGAGAACAAGAGCACATCAAACGGAGGCATTACTGCTTTCCACTCAGGTAAAAAAATGAATATAAAATATATATATTATACAATTTAAAAAATTATATGTATACGGTATATATAAATTAGATATCAACTATATTTGCAATTATAAACGTATTTTACCTTGTGGCTACAAATACGTCAATTGTTTTCCTAAATATTTTCACTCTAGTGGCCCCTGGTAAAGACCTGAAACAAGTATCAAATGTACGTCGCGGTAGCCTGAATGCCCTTCAACTTCACTCGACTGTCTTTTCACCTCTCTCCTCCGCCGTAGTGGTGAGATACAATCCTAAATCAGGTGCAGAACAAATTCTTTGCGCAACATACCATATAGTACTTAATATTTATTTACTCATTTGAAAAGTATGTAATCTTGTCTTTTGTGATTTTAAAGTTCTTCGGAAAAATGTTACATGTGAAGAATTACAGACTCCGGGTGCACCATTCATCAGGAAAGTGTTAACGGTGAGTAACTGACTTTGTGCAGTTGCATTGCATTATTTCAGTACCAGTACCATCATAAGTTGCTTAATTAATTATGAAATAAAAACTCTCTTGGTAAGCCTTTGCCAACAAGTTTTTGTAAAAGGATTGAAAACAGTGAACCAGGAGAGCAGTCGTACACCAGGACCTAGTTAAATTACCATGACAACTTGGTAAAAAAAACACTCATACAAAAGGTACTAATGTGCTAACACAAACCTCTCAAGAGCTTAGACAGGTTAATTTCTAGCGCTGAGCTGTGTTAGTTAATCAGTTTTTTCAACCTTCAATAAATCTCTTTTTTTTTTCTATTTGCAACAGATCTTTTTTGAATACTGAAAAAAACCAAAGGCCTCTTACTGACCATGTTCAGCTCTTTTTGTGGTTTAGGTTTGTTGATCATGAAACTGGCTTGACATAGATTTCGGAGAACACTACAACATGATAGCTAGTTATGGTTATTAAACTTGGACTGCCCTGTTGCAGGCTGTGGTTGCTAGTTGTGGAATTCAATGTATTTAAGTTTACATCAAATACGCCTACGTCTTTTCCATGACATCACTTCCTATTTTTCAGGTAGTAGGAGATGATCTGGGCTGGGGCTTTGTCGTCAGAGGACGTTCTCCCTGTTATGTCCAAGCTGTTGACCCGGGAAGCCCGTCAGCTGCTGCAGGAGTGAGAGTGAGTGGCATATTACACACATTTTATTACAGCACATTTTGATGTCCTCAATGAAAAAACATAGTCCTTCTTCCTAATATAATCGTGTTTAGGTGCGGCAGTTTGTGTGTCAGGTGAATGGACGGTGTGTTCTGTACATGGATTATAGGACCCTTACCACACTGGTGATGACTGGACCTCGCACCATTGTCCTGGAAGTCATGGACCCACTGGAATGAAAACTGCACTGTTTTTTATCTGCTTTTCACAGACTTTTGTTACACTGCTCTTGTCCTCATGAGCACTCAAAATTCCCATTTTTCATTTATTATGTCTTTGCTATACTTTGTGATCCGAGACATGTCTCCACAGAAAGGCTTTCAAGTTTTCATGTTAGATACCACAGCCTCTGCACGCTGTCATCAAGCTCCTACAACCCGAGGTCAGGTAAGAACGGAGCTGTGTAACAGCCGTGAACGCAACACTAATTTGAACATAGTTGTACTCATTATCAATTTTTTAATCGAAGCAATACATCAAATGTGCTGGTAGGTTTGGATGTAGATGTCTCTGGCTTTGTCGGTAAGAAGATCTCCAGTTATCAACTTTTCTAGGGAGAGGGTCATTGGACTGCTTGGGTTACTTACATCTCAGAACACATTCATACCCTACACTCTGCCAAATTATGTTTGATCATTTGAAAACAAAAAGTAATAACGAAACCAATTTGCCTCCCTGTTTTGTTTCAAAACTATTAAAAAAAGTATTCTCGAGTGAACGTAACCAGACAACTTTCAAGTAATTCAAAAACATACCTGAAGTCCCAATTCCATTCAAAAGTTCACCTGCAAAATGTTCTCCAACATATGGAAATACTTGTTTTTCTGTGCATTTAGCAAAAAAAAGTTGTGTATAAAATGTGTTATTCTGTAGTAACCTACACTGCTGCAATGACAGACCTCTCAACACCATAGGATTAATCCTACAGAAAGTCAACAGAAAAACACAAGCAGAGTATTCATTTAAAAGTATAATTCACATATTTATAGTCCTGTCATTACATTAGCATGAGAACTGTGTTTTTAATAAATTGTTGAAAAAAGTTCCTCATGCACTGGTTAATGAATAATGACCACTGAGTAACTATCATTAATCTGTGTATGACAATTTGTTTCTTAACCATAGCTCACATATTCTCTAACATGAGTGCAATATTTTGCCCATATCTATATCTTTAAGCTTTTACCCAGAACATATTCCTTAAGAGGTTCAACAAAGGCTAATAGTTGTCTGTTATCCAACAAATCTATACAATGTCAGCGTAACATTATATAATTTGGTGGTCTGTTTCCATCAGAGATCAAATACATGAGCAGTGCAAATTTAAGAAAGGGTTTTATCCCGATTGCTTTGTTTGATCTGATTAAAATTAGTTTTCTTAATTTTAATGTGTACTGCAGCCCCTCAGCAATTATGCACCGACTAAGCAGAAAAAGTTGAATGGATGTAGGGATCCATCCATGATTTAAAGTAAATTATACTTTAAATCAAACTGCTCATCTTATCTTTAAAAGTCAACAACGAAAGACTATTAAAAGGTTAGTACATGTCTTATTTTAAATATACCGGGCCTATTATTTGTGATATAAATCCCCTAATCTGAGAATCAAATTGATTTTCACTAATCAGACAATTCACAGTCCAAAGTCCCAGAAAAATAACTTTATCAATTTATATTTTATTTAGTTAAGGCTTGTACACAATAGAGTCTTTTAGTATTGGGACCAAAGTTTTCACCATTCATTCTCTGCCCAGTTGTTACGATTTCCGTTTTGTGCTGCCGCCATTTTGGATTGAGGCTTGCCTTATTGTGGTAGATGGTGTTAGCTAGCAAACTGGCCTTAGCGCCGGTGAACGATTAATGCGTGTTTATGGGATATCAAGTATCGACGGACGCGTTAAATAGTCGCCTTATCCGCATTATTTCTTAAGTTGGTTAAATTAAACGTTAACAACTCTGCTTGGCTCTTTGTCCGCCCGACCTAGAACACAGCATCTGCAGTAGAGCAGATGCGCTAACTAGCTAAGTTAGCATCCCAAACTAACCGCGGTATATCGGGCCATCAACATCAGTTTGCACGGCCGCTCTCAGCACTTCTGTGTTTATAGTTCATGCAGTGAGACAATCTGTGTCAACATAGTCACAGGACCCATCCGAAGGTGAGTAACACGAGTCAAGGATGTTTTGTAGTGCAAATTGTAAAATGTGTAACTGATCTGGCGAGAGTAGGAAACAGCTAATCTAGGTTATCATAATAAGGCTAGAACACAAAAAGCAGAGCGTGATACATTATGGGTGACCTGTTATGGAAGATTCGGCACAGAAAGGACATTGGTTCTTTGCTCTTTGATTTAGTTTATTAGGTTTAGTTAAGAACTCTACTGAACAGCGTGTTCACACAGACAACGCTTCAAGGTAAACCTAGTGCATGCTGATTGGCATGTTCCACAAGAAAATATGCTTAACATGTGAAAAAGGAACACAGTAAGGTAATAATAATAAATAACACGGTCACGATAAGTCATAATAATTATGTATACTGTCATAATGTAGGATTAAAAAAACCAAGTATGTACAAATTGGCTTTGCAAAAATGAGTCTTTTCAATCACAACCTTGTTTTCAGCATTGTTTGTGCATAACACATAGAATAAATGTAAATTACAAAATTATTATGATTGTGGTTGGGAAATGTGCAATACATGTGTTATGTAACATATTTACACATGAAGCTGGTAATAGTTTATTTTTTATACATTGGTGTGTATATTCTGTATAACTATCTAAATGTTAAAGAACATTCAAATGGCCAGGGTTTTATTATAAAGTAATGCGTTTCTTAACTAAATATTGCATTGCACGTTAATATTTTGATGAGATTTTGAAAGCTCCATGCTCACAGGATCTAAATAGGCAAAAAACAAAAAACATGTTTAACAGGAGTGGTGCGATGTATATTGGTACTGGAAAGAGAAACATTTGGGAAGCTGTTGCTCAATGTACATAATGGAAGTATTGATTAAAAGTGAGATAAACATTTGACCAAACTAAATGCAATAGTTTGGACCAAATCATTTGTTTTATATTTTATGGTAAAGAAATTTGCATCATAACTGTTTTACCAATAAGATGTCAATTAAGAATTAAAAGTTATACTCAGTATGACTGTATCTTTAAGCTCTGCAGAAAATGACTGTATCATATACAGCAGAAAAAGACACAGACATTGTTACTGAGAATATATTCAATACAGTAAGACATGCGTACTGCCAAGGATGAGTCTGCTCAGGTTAGCTGTCTTTAGCTTGTGTGCTAAGGGCTGTGCTGTCATGCAGGGCTATGTTGTCTGAAGACTTGACCATGTCAGCTCTGTGCAAGGGTCAATGAGAGTTGCTCTGTTTATTTTTCAAACTTTCAGCTTGTTACATTATCATTCCATAGAAATGGCAATTTATTGACCAATTATCAAGGAAAACTGGATTTTTTTTTTCTGTTGCTGGAGTAGTTAAAGTCAGTGTCACTTGAATAAGGAGGAATAAGAGGGTGTGGTTTTGACACAGGACTCTCCAGAGGACAACTTTTTTTCAGTGGAAATTGGAAAAGCAATGTTTGCTAATGTAATTTATGACAAGTATTTTAACTGCTACTGTGTGAAGTTAATCATACTCTAATTGTACTGAACCCAAATTGGCTAAAGTTTTTATAAACTGAATGTTTATTTATGTTTATGATTTGTTTATGCAGTGGTACAAATGTATGTGATACATAACACAGAATTTATTAAATTTTATGCTGGAAAATTTAATGAAATAAAATTTATCAGAGAAATTCAGGTGTTTAATCATAAATATGATTGAACACCTGAATTTCTCTGATTGTCCAGCTTTAATTTTAATTTTGTTTAATGTTAGTAGTTCAATGTATTCATAATAAATATAATAAATAAAAACACTTAACTAATCACTTTTACTAAATGTTGCATGCTATCATTGTAAACAGTTCCCATTTTTATTTAATACCATATTCTGACCAAAATCATGCTCTTGTGTTTCAGGAGAGATGTATCAGGTCCCAGTGAATAACCTTACAAGAATAAGAAGAGCAAGAAAACAAGTGAAAAACGTACTTGGGGACATTGGCCTGGAGTTTTGTAAGGAAGCAGCTGAGGTGCGTGTATTGTTCCTTCACATTTTCTGAATTTAGGTTAAAATCAGAAATTACCTTTAATGAGGTGAGGAAGTTTGTGTCTATAATTTTTTATATTGAACGTTAACACTGAACATGGCAAATGTCACTCTTTCAGGTGAATTCTAACTTGCTCTGGAACACAGATTATGTAGTACCTTTACTAATGCAAAAATGCTTTTCATTTTATCCCCAAACTGCTTATATTATCCCTCTTGTTCGCTCATTTTCTTTTCTGTCCACCAGGGCCTCCAGCAAAGCCTTGGCTGGGCCCAAATGAAGGGAAACCATCTTCTCACAACATTGTCTTTCATCTGTTCCTTTCTCTCAACACAGATTACAATGTCATGTGCAAAACTCTACCTCATGTTACTTTATGTTTCTCTCTTTTCCTAAAGACTAAAAACAAAACAAAAACTTCACACGAGTTTTAGTATGTTCAAAAAAACAGTCTATACAGCCTATAAGCACTGGCATTTCCACCAGCATCTCATCAGCTTTACTGATTGTCTCGACAACATGTAGTCATTTTTCTTAAAAGTCACAATGTTTTATTCATAGAAAAATGTTTTTCACTAACTAGAAACTCTTTCTTCTATTAATCAGGAATTTAAAGAGTTTTGCCCTGATGAGCAGTTTGTGAAAAGCAGTCTTTGCCTTGATATCTGTACATGGGATCCATCATTTTCAAAAACCCAGGTAAATCTTTATTTTAATTATTTTTATAAGACATTGTTTCACTTAATCACTGAAAGTCATCTAATGCCGTTGCCTTTCCCTTCTCTGTGTTCATTAGGACTACAGATCAAAGCCATTTTGCTGCACAGAGTGCCATTTTTCCTCCAAGTACTACTCAGGCTACAAGAACCACTTCCGCAATGTACATAGGAACATTTTTGAGAGCAAAATATTGCTTAACTGTCCGTATTGCACATTTACTGCCAACAAGAGAACTTTGGAGACACACGTCAAAATATTCCACGTACCCAGTTCCTCACGGCAGAACCATGGGAGTTTACAGAAGTCTCTCCCTCAGAAGATTTACAAATCACAGTTTGATCTCAACAGACAAGGAGATGGAGTGCAGAGACCAATGTACTTTTGCAAGAAATGCACATTCCGGGACAGTCTCTACAATATTGTGAGACGGCACATTTATAGGGAACATTTTAAGCACATTGTTGCACCCTATCTTAGTATGGTTTCTGAATCATCTGTTAAAAATGGTGCTAGTCCTGTTACCGGTAACAACATCCTCTGTAAACGCTGCCAGTTTTCCACCCGGAGTTATGAAGCATTAGTTCAACATGTGATAGAGTACCATGAACGCATTGGTGCTCAGGTAACTACAATGATTGGACATGCTAATGTTATTGTCTCCAGGTCACAAACCTTACCAGTATCTTCTATGACTGTTAGCAGGAGCAATCCAGTTAAAGCAGAATCAACAGCACAGTCAGTAATTGGCTATTTAAAGCCACCTGCTATTAAGAATCAGTCTTCTTTTGTAGGCACTCAGGCACGTGTCTTAGTTTCAGGCAAGAGCTCTGTACCCAACACCGGTAAAGGTGTGAATACAGCCCAGACACAGAAGTGGAAGATATGCACAGTTTGCAACGAGCTTTTCCCTGAAAACCTCTACAGTGCTCATTTTGAGAGTGCGCACAAGGCCAAGAAAGTGTGGGCTATGGCTAAGTACATCATGAAAATCCACAACTTTACAAGCAAGTGTCTACTTTGTAACCGCTACCTTCCCAGTGACACGCTGCTAAATCACATGCTTATTCATGGACTCACCTGTCCACAGTGCCACTCTGCTTTCCATAGTATTGAAAGAATCATTGAGCATGTGGCCCAGAGTCACCCTGATGACTTTGCTGGACCCCCTGGTGCGACACCACTCACATTTGATCTAACCATTAAACAAGGCAAAACCAAGAATGTTCAGCTTGTTGTCCTTACGTTTAACATGAAGGAATCTGCCAATGGTCAAGATCAGCCTGCATCGGCTCAAAATAGTGCACCATCTATGATTAAGCTTGCGGCTCCTAGAATAGTTGAGAACAATACTGAACCTCTTAGAACCTTACCAATGACAACAACTCAAAAGAGTGAAGTAGGAAAAACGTTGTGTCCACTGTGTTTCACCATCCTCAAAGGTCCAATCTCTGAAGCCTTGGCCATGCATTTGAGGGAACGGCACCAAGTGCTCCAAACAATGCATCCTGTGGAGAAAAAGATGACATACAAGTGTATTCATTGCTTAGGAGTTTACACCAGTAACATGGTGGCTTCCACAATAACACTGCACCTTGTTCAGTGCAGAGCTGTTGGCAGAAACCAGGGAAACCAAGGTTTCAAGTCTGCTTTGACTCTCAACTCTTCCGGTGCTGGTTTCCTAAAGAGGCAACCAGCAGCACAGGCTACATCTAGTCCCAAGAAAATGAAGATCAGCAAAGATACAAAGTATACTGGGAGTCAATCTGACTTGGATGGTCTTGCTTTAGATCCCAGAAGCTTTGAGCATAAGACTTATGAGGCTAGAAAGAATTTCCTGACTGCCTACTTTAACCACAGACCATACCTTTCTGCTGAGGAAGAGGAAAAGCTGTCTGCAAGTCTTTGGTTGTGGAAATCTGATATTGCCAGTCACTTTGCAACCAAGCAGAACATGTGTGAAAAACAGTGCAAGTCTAAAAAATTATCTGTGTTGCTTGGCTTTGACATGCGTGCACTCAGGCAGGTGAAGCACAACTTGGTCTTTGATGAGGGAGATAGTGAGACTTCTTCCCTCAACATTTCTGGGGGCATCAGGTTGGGCAAAGCTAGTGCAGAAAAAACCAAGTCAATTGAGACGATAAACTGTGACTCAAAATTTAGCACAGTCACGGAGACCATCTCTCTTGATTCAGACAGTGAATCAGAAATTGTTGACGAGCCTGTTTCAAATGGAAATGTTGACACAAATGAACAGAAGACAACAGTAGAAGATACAGAAAACTTACCAGAAGAGGTGAATTGTGTAAATGAAGATGATACCTCTAAAGAGAATGAGACTCCATTGCAAGAAAAGGAATCAGATGCTTGTGTGGCTTCCTTTTAATGCACCTGCTTTTTGGCATGCCTGAGTTGAGGATCGGTTTATCTGACGAGTTCTGTTACCACAAAATGGTAGAAAAACTTTTGCCACACAAAAATTGATTTGTTGGAAAGACATGGTAGCTAATATATATCATGCATTCATCTTTATACTGGTATATAGGTGTAACTGACTGTAAATATAGTATTAGCTATTCTTATTCTTGATGGGATCTGTTATTGAGGAGATATTGGTCACAATATTTAAGCTGGTATGATCTTCCTAACCTTTTGTTTCATCTGTGACAAAGATGTAGAATGTTGTCATTTCTCATCTAGAAAGTTAAATGCTAATGTAAATATTTTTAATAAATGGTTTCATAAAAATATTTCTACACTCCAGTGTGTAAAGAGTCTAAAAAATGCTACAAATACTGTAAAGAATATGGACATTAGAGGTTGTTTGGGCAAACGATTTATTTGAAATTGAAATTGGTAAACTTCTACCTACAGGATGGACACATCCCGTGGAACTTTCTAGTCTGGCGTAACATTAAGATGTAAATTGATTTAGGCAGGATGTTGTTGAAGGCCAAGCAGAGAAATACACAGCCTGCCACCGTTGCTTTAAGTTAATGACTTCTCAGATTGCCATTTAAACAGCATTCGGCCACGAGGACTAGGTGGATGGTGGCATTGCAGTTAGTTGACAAAGATGACCTTATCTAAAATAATCTTGCTTAAATTGAAAGAACACACACCAAGAGGACAGAAACATTGCATACAGCAGTGAATACTTTCGGTGACTGTAAAAGAGGATTGTATGGGTTATGCTATTATGAATCCTGCATACTTTGGTTTTTTTGTTTTTGTTTTGTTTTGTTTTGTTTTTGTTTTTTTCTTGTTTTGTTTTGTTTATGGAAAACTGAATACTATGCTTTATGGTTGACACTAAAATAAAATCCACCTCCAACTATTCCCCGCCAACCTTTCTGACGTCACACCACAGGCCCCTTAAAATCCGGCTGAGTCTTGGATGCTGATTAGTGCTAATGCTACAGGAGGCGGGGTTTTGTAGCGGGTACAGCAGCTGAATTGGCCAACCGCCAGCGTGCACCAGTGCAGAGGCCACTGTATTGTGCAGCTTCTTTAATGTCCGTTTAAAATGTAACACAACCAGTGCAGCGTATTCTGACTCAGCGATTACGCTGGTAGACAAACTAGAGTCTGTGAGCTGTTGTAAGTACATCTATACATGTTCCATGTGACCGTTAGACGTGGTAAACGTTTTGCTTGATATTTGCATCGTTTCCTGTGGCTTTTCTTCTTAAAAGCTAGTTAGCATATGAAGCTCAAGCTGTTTCTCAGAGTCGCAGCTTTGAGGGATCTGCCACGGGGGATGACTGGCATCCCGACAGCTACAGCGCTGATATCACGTTTCTTTGGTATGCAAACGAATAACTTGTTAAACTCCGATGTTTCTTTTTCTTGACTACTACTGTATGTTTTCCTCCGATACTTTTGAAAAGGTCTCTTTGATGCTACACTTTATGTTGTGTTACTTTCCCATCATTTCAGTTCAGAAGAAGATTTTATGACGAATTCATCTGCAGTTTTTGGGATTAAGGTGATGTATGCATACAGTTACACTAGAAATGTAAACTAAACAATCGTCTGTCTGCTTAGTTGTTACACACAAAGCTTATGGGTGTATACACAAGTGTGGACCATTCCCCAGGTTTTCACCATTTGTATTTTTGTAGAAAACTGTTCAAACACTTACTGAGGGCAAATGTTTACTAGTAGGCTGACAGTAATATTGAGCACAATATGTAGAGGTGATACTTAGACCCCCCAAAAAAAGCTTGTGTGGTGAGATGTAAGAACATAGGAAACAGGAAGTTGTATTTAACCCTTCACCAATTCATTTATCCTTTCTATCCTTTGATCCTTTGATTGTGTGGAAGGCCTGAGTTACTCCCAACAGTCATAGGCTGAAGGGGGCCACCCTTTATAGGTTGCAGTTCTACTGTAAACAACAGATAAGTTGACCTGATCCCAAAATCTAAATCTTTTTGACAGGAGGAGAAAAGCCAAGCGCACACTGGGAAAGCCTGCACGGCCATCATCAATGATTTTCATACTGAGGAAGAGTGATAACCAACCTGTCATCGTGTGGCCCAAACCTGCTTTAGGTAAGCTTCCATATGACACACACATGACATTAAATGAAATGTATGACCACAGAAACAACAAAGCTCTGTAAATGCAAAGTGCAGCACCAGAAGTGAACTTCAATATGTACATCTCTCCTTTTTTATTCCAAGAAATCATCAATATGTTTCAAATATTAGACAAGGCAGAAAAGCAGTTGGTAACTTGGTGCCAAAGACTATATTTTCAGAGATATTTTTTTTGTGTTTAGATTTTAATGCAGCATGTGTGAAGATGTAGCACTGGTAGGCACTTTTTATCCCATACATGTAGAAGAGGTTGAATAACGTTATCTAATCTGCATTAACTTACTCTTTTCTCGTTACTTTGTTCCAGACCTTTTATGAACCACAGCATCAATTGGCTGCAACATGGTGGTCTACAGTCTGACAGGAGTCGCTGCAGGGACTATGGGTTCTCCCTAAACTGGCTGCACGTCAGACACTTACTGTATGAAAATAATGTCGTGCAGTAACAGAGAATTGGTTAAGTTCTTTTTAGGTTATAAGCTTTCTCAGAGGAACTACCCAGAATCTCTTCTGATGTTGAGGATTGGGGGAGAACAGCGTGAAGGTGAGGAGGTCACCACAGCGTCCAGTAATGGCGTTCCTCAGACTCCTTCAGCTGTGCTGCAGCACTGCAGTGGTGCAGAGGCTGTAAAGGCTGCTCTCAAGGACTCAGCTGACGAGTTTGAACTTCGCTTCACACAAGCCTTTCGTAACCTTTTCTTAAAGCTGGACCTCACTCCGGACACAGTCTACCACAGTTTTAAGAGCGTGATGGATGAGGTCTTCAGAGACGGAGTCAACTGGGGACGCATAGTCGGCCTGTTTACTTTCGGAGGAGTACTGTGTGTGGAATGTGTGCAGAGGAATATGAGTGAGTTAGTTCCCCGCATTGCAGACTGGATGACCATGTACTTGGATGAATACATTGATCCATGGATCCAGAGCCAAGGAGGCTGGGTAAGTGTCCAGGAACCACACACACTGTGGCCTCTTTACACCTGACACAGCATGATATCAACAATAAAGAAGTACAGCTGTTCATGTGTCATATGTGTCTGAATACCCCCTCCCCCACCCCCCTCCTCTGTAGACATTTAGGGCCCAGTGAGAAGCTACATAACATCCTCACTTTTACTTTGTTTTTTCCACTGGTACCATCGTAGACCAACACATAACCCCTGGTGGGATTTGTGCACCTGATCTGCAGTAGTAGCACAGAACAAATCATTTCTATCTCCTTTTCTCTCTCTCTATATATATATGTATATGTATATATTTAGTCTAATCCATCCATTTTGTCTGACTTGTTTTCTTCCTTTAGGACCGTTTTGCTGAGATTTTTGGCACAGACTGTATTCCAAGAACGAGGAGTTGTCGGGACACAGTGAGAAGATGGCTGCTAGTGGGAGCAGGCCTGCTTGCAGCAGTGTTGATTGGTGTTCTGATCACTAAAAAGCATTGAATGCAGTTGACCTGTCTGTCCAGTGCTACTGCAATGCTTTGCCAACAGAACAAATCTAATTCATACACGTTTACAAAATGCCTGATCTGCTGTGTAGCTTGAGGAGCTTTTCAGGGAGGAATCATAGTCTTCTGGTTTACAAAAACCTAGGAAGTAGGACAGATGTAGCCGGTGTGAAACATAACTGAGGATTCTGATTTTCAAGTAAAGCCCACAAAAGTGAAAATGCACAAGGAATTTGTGTTCTAGTTTAGATTTTTAGACTGTCTTCAATCATCATTTTAGATTGTTATTATTGTATTGTTTTTTTAATGAAGGTTGACTGATGCCTCGACCAATCAGCAGTCGTTATAGTGTAGAGTTTCTAAGCGATTAGAATTGGTTGTGTCAAGATAGTGTGGCGTCATCATGCGCAACCTTGGTGTTTTTTTTTTGTTTTGTTTTTTTACTTTGGTGTTTCTGTGAAATAGGAGCTATCTGTCTGGTTCAGACATGGGGAAACTGTGGCCTGTGGGCCAGATACAGCCCGCCAAAAGGTGGTAGGAGGTATGGTAAAGATTTATATCAATCCTTTTTCTTGCGTTATAACAAATTGACTGTAATTTCAGTTGATGCCACTTGATGGCGGCACACATCAATTGTGTCAAAATTTTCTTTGAAAGTTCAAGTTTATTTTTGTATTTATATTATTTCACCCAGCATTCTACATCCAACCAGTACTGAACCTGCCCGCCAGTAAACTTTTGAACCTCTTGTCCAAAAGAAAATATTTAACCATCACGTAGACAAGTGTTGCATAAACAGGATCTTACAGCACAATTCAGTGATGGAAACATTGCATTCTTTATTGTCACATACAGTAGTTGAAAGTAGGTACCACACAATACAGTCCTATGATCACAGCTGGATCAGAAATTCTCCGGTGTCCTTTTAGTAAAAAAAAAAAAAAACGGGTTTTTTTTTTTTTTTTTTTTCTGAGTCCTGGAAAACTGTTTTATATTATCTCACTTCCTGGCTGACAATTACTTATACTGACATGTTGCAAGTGTTTTTGTTTTGTTTTTTAAAGCGTGTTAGCAGTAAAACAAGAAACTAGCATTAGTTTTTTTTTATTGAGTCACATGGTACGTCACACACTCATAACATGTAGGCTGGATGTATGCCACAAATTCCTTTTTAAAGATAAACACAGATTGACTCTGTTGTAAAACCAGAATTCAATAGGCTCATTTTTTTATCTTCCAAATTGAATAATTATTTTTTTGTTGTTTGTCTTTTTTTTATTCTATTTTGTTAAGTCCAGCAAATGTTGAAAGCTCCTATGTCACCAGTCTAGAGGTGAATCAACCTAGATAAGCTATGTTACGTGAGTGTAAAGCAACTTCTTTTTGTCATGTTTTATTATTTTTGTGTATGCCAAGGGCCAATTATTTATGGCATATTTATATAATTTGTTGGCTTTACTTGATGTAAAAAGGAAAAATAAATGTAGGTTTTTCATGGTCTATGATGTATGTTGTCACATTTCAGTCAAAAGTAGTATTCACAAATCAAGTCAATCTTAACTGTGCACACAGAAACTACGTTGTTTGGTAAACAAACTAAATAATTGATTTAACCCATCAATTGACATTTTTTCTTTTTTTTTTTTTTTTTTTTTTTTTTTTTTTTGCTTAAAAATGAATTCCAACTTACTTAGCTTAAATGTGTAATATGTCTTATTAACCAGATAATCAAATGCGTACTATTGCAGGTATGTGTGCTAGCAAAATGCTACAGCGGTGTGTAAAACTGCAGTGCTCTGCTTTGACCACCCGGTGGCGTCTGTAAACCAGATATGCTGAAAAGACTTAACGAACCCAATGTTGACGCAGTTCATCCATCAACCACTAAATCCTTGGTCAGTCCATCTCAGGTCTACAGAGTCAAAACAACCATTTACACTAACACTCGTTAGAAGAAGAGTTGACGATAAACCAATCTGCACATTAGGAAGCAACATAGTGATCTCCTACCACCATGTCAGTGCTTGGCCCCAAAGTAGAACATGCATTTTTAAAAATTGTATTTTTTCAAAGGATGGTGCTTGGGAAATGTCTTTGTTCTTCACATCTTAGCCTTTAATGTCCATCACTTCAGATTATGAATCTGCACTGAAGCAGGTTCAGTCAAACCTGTCCTAGTCTGTCTGTATGTTAACACTGACTTGCTCCCTTCCAGAGTTTTTTTCTTCTTCTTCTTCTCTGTATTGCAGGATGGAGCAGTTTGACTGAATTACTCACGACATTTTAGTCAAACGCTAACGGATGGCTGTGAGAGAGCGAGCTGGGGCAGGCCTGTGGTTACTAATCTGTCCTTGACACTCGTTGCCATTTCCCCAGGGCTGTAACAGAAGCGGACAAATGCAGACAGAGGTAGTTCAGGAAGAGGATAAATTGTGGACACACTTTAGTGTTTACATTTCCAATTCATTTTTAACTTTTAATTTAATTTACTGTGATTTAGCGCAGGGAAGTTTGAGGTGTAAAATGTTCTGATACAAGCAAATGTTGATTGCATTAAATCCTTTTTTTTACTCTCAGTCATGTAGAAGATGTTAGCTTAAAGACAAAACTGTTTAGATTTGGGGAAAAGATCCAGAATGTGTAACTAAAAGTTTAGGAGTCACTGTTAACAGATGAGCAAACACAAGCTAAAGGTTGAGTTGGTATTTGGTTGGTATGAGCTACCGATGTACACGCCAGCTGTGTCTTGACTGTACTTTATCAACCATATGTGGAGGGACGGTGGAGTTATTGGACATGCTGTACGGTCTACGTCATTTTACTGATGTGTTCAAATGCATTCAAAATTGTAAGCTACTATTTCACAAATTAATAATCAACACATCCATTTTGACAGCCCTAGTTGTAAGAGCATTACCAGGACGCATGGGCAACGTGACTAAAACGTCCTCGTCCGCTGCCCAACTAAACTTTGGGCAGCGCTGTTGTTCTGTTTGTTAGAGGCCAAATTAGAAATGGGAAGACACACGATCTATTTACTTAAACCATTTAGTTACTTTAGTTTTGTGCTTCTGCGTCTTGAAAACTAGATTATGATTAGTGGTTCACTTAGAGCTCAGATCAGTATAGAGCTTAGTTAATGTAGGAGCCATATTTAGAAAAAATGATAGCATTTTAAAAACATAACACATTTCTATATTTAATTGACCTAAATCCTAAATGAACAGTTGGTACTTTATCAAGTTAATATCCACTCATAATCTGATTTGACACAAAGGTCCCATAAGAGAAAGTATCAATAAATAGCTGAGTTGTAATTCGGTCAAACATCTCATTTGTTTGGTGTTTTGTGGTTAAACACAGTGAAGTCAGCCGATGGATCTGGATTAAAATGACAATTTCTATAGACTAAAACTGAAAATAGGTATTCAGATGGCCTGGAGATCGATATGGTCTTTATTGAATATTGTTTAGGTATGTTTGAAAAACAAAACAGAGAAAGAGTAGAAGAGAGAAAAGGCGGGAGAGAGAGGGAGAGAGAGAGATACAGTTCTGCATAGGAGAGATAAGACCACCGTCTACCCAGAAGTTTGTTTCTGTAGAATTGGAGTCCAATGGTGACACGCACCATCATCGATGCCCCTGTGACAACAGTCGTACAACCACCTCCCAACTGTCCATATCAACACTCCCATGTCAGGTCGATCTGCTGGGGATGAGATACTGTCATCAGGAGCAGACGTGTGTGTGGGACCTAAATGTGTTCAAGGACACGACCACGGATGTGCTGCAATGACTTATGCTGTCTGTCCTGCTGGCTGACAGTGAACGACAGTCTGAAATTCCTGCCTTTCTTTCATCTTGATAGTGTCTTATCAGAGCTGAGCAGCCTGCACACACACACACACACACACACACAGCTTTGACCCTGCCCTTTTGACCACGCTGTTCTCTCACTCTCACTCACTCTCTCTCTCTCTTTGACAGTGACAGTGACAGTGGTTGCCCACATGCTCTTGAAAACTACGAACTCCCATCGCCAGAAAAACGGCCACACTTCCTAAACCTGCAAAATAATTTACTCAAACCATGACATTTGTTCTGTTAAGAACAAATTAAGACATTTAGTAATGTTACTAAATTTGGGCCTGTGAAACAAACTAAAATTGTTTTGCAGCTAGGAAGTGGTGTCAAGGTTCATCAACTAAAGAAGGATTCATGGTAAGTGTAGTGTGTTTTTTTTTTTCTTAAACTAAAAGGTAAGTTCAAGTTTACGAAGCATTCAAACTGTAGACCATTTAATCATTCATATTGCCACTGATTTAAAATGTAAAAGCAGTAGATCTGCTGACTCATTATTTCCATGCAAATAAAGGTTTACGGGAAACTGAGATCCAATAGCAAAAATAAAAATATTAATATAATTCAATAGTGTGTAGTCGTAACCTTTGATTGTTCGACTTCAATCATATTGTGATGTGTAGAGCTGCGCGCTTTTAATCAGTAAAGAAAGTCAGGTTCCTTTTGTAAAACTCTTTGATGAGTTTGTCTTTTGACACCTTTCCTTTAAGTGTTTTTTTTTTAAATAGACACAATAGTCTGACTGTGGCAATACATGAATACCAGCACAATGCCACTGTTAACAGGACCAGCTTAGATATTTGCATCTGGTCCAACTGAAGCCTTGCATAACATTATGAAAATATTGTTTAAGTTCAATATTGTATTTTTATTGGAAAATATTTCAGTCTGCGGTCCAGTGAAGGCCCTACTTCCTTATCCCTGCCCTCCCTCCCTCCCCCACTGTTCCCTCCCCCCTGATTTCCCTGGAAACTGTAAATGAGCTGCTGAACTCTTTTGACTATCAAATGACAGGAACAGTGTTAGGATTGTACACAGCCGAGCCACCTCTGTACCATATCTCTCTTCCATTAATACAATTTTCACCCTAAATTTGCATGAAAGCGTTCTTCTTTAACCTGCGCCAGACCACAGAGAAATTGTATCTTTGCATTTTATATTTGCTTTGTTCAAACGTCACTTTATTCTCGAGGTCTTATCACAATCTGTATGCACATTTCAGCATCAGAAAGAAGGAGCTGTTGCCTTGTACTGAACACAGGCCGCTGTGAACATGAAGGGCAGGTTCATCCACCTCACGAAATTAGTCAAAACTAAAATGGACGCCAAGACATTTATTAATGATTTAACAATCAGATGCATCAAACTAATATTATTAATTATTACAATATTATTATTATATAATATCTAAATATATGCAAGTTAAATAAGTTAAAATATGTTTTTATAAATTAACCATAAATGCTATTGAAAGTATTAAAATACAATTTAAAAAGGCATTTAAGGAAGAAAAATGTGTGTTCAACAAACGTCTCTCATAAAGCGTTATTTTGAATGTTAGGTCTGCCTCCATGTTGAACCTCTATCTCACTGCACTGAAGAGGTGTGTCTTTGTTTACTAAAGTTATACCCCAAACCCCTCCCTTTAACTGTCCCTGGGCTCTGCATGTACTGGAGGTTGTAGAAGCTGCACCAACCATCGGCCCATGTCAAATGTGTTGGTGTATCCTGTCGCCTGCCTCGTCTCTCGTCTCTCAGGTACGTGACTTCTCTGTTTTTAGTCAAAATTTTGCTGACAATTAATTTATTACCCAGGGTTTAATTTCCTCTCATCATTTCTATTGCTCTATCAACTGAGTTCTGGAGAAGCTGAAGGTTTTGATGCTTTTTTATGTCCTGCACCAATGATTCAAGACATTTTAAAGACGTACAATATGCAATGTAACCAAACCAACATGTCTTCTTGTGATATTTAATATTTAATTTCAGTTTTTTTCTTCTAAATACAACTCATTCCATTTTTTAATTTTACAGTTATTCACACAAGATTCAATTAGAAAACAAAAATGTATTAAAAAATTATTTTAAAAAAGAAAGCTAAAAAAATACATTAAATAGGAAAAAAAGAGAAACCTTTTTTTTAAAGTTTTGCACAAGGTTGATGGAAAAAGTATCGACTGTAGAATTTACCGAAAAAAGAACAAAAACAATCTGAGGTGTCCAGACCATTGGCATAAAGACTTTTTCCTGCTGGAATAAAATGAACACTGTAACTTTACATTTCACTTTAAGAAGATGTATACCATTAACTATAAATATATATTAATTTTAATTGTCTACTATAACAAATTTAACATTTTGGGACTAGAGTAAACCTGTAGGACAAAGTCCTTAGATTTCAAAAGACATGTTTCTCAGCTCAGGACAAAAATGAAGTAAGGCCACAACTGACGAACGATAAAAGGCCAGATGTCAAACGTGCAGGCTGCTGACTTTGGCTTGATCGTGTCACCCTTGGACAGTGTTGCTTTACAATTAATAAACAAATAGCCAAGAAAATTGGGCTTAGCTGAAGCTAGTTTATTACAGTGGTAGCAGTGGAAATCTCTATATACATAATAATAATAATAATAATAATAATAATAATAGTAATAATAATAAGAGAGTAAACTCTCTTATAATTTGGGGTCTAGTGGATTCAAACCTGCAACTTTCCAGATCTAAGTCCACTTTCTTTAGCCAACATTGCCCTAATAATATTACTATTATTATTATTATAAATAATAATAATAATAACAACAACAACAACAACAACAACAATAATAATAATAATAATAATAGCAACAACATATAGAGAATAGATTTATCACTAATTTTTGTCTATTTCTACACTTGGTACACAGCGTGTTGTGTGTGCGTGTGTGTGTGTGTGTGTGTGTGTGCGTGTGCGTGTGCATCCATCCGTCCATGCAGTATCTTATCGTATCTGTGTGTTGCTGGCATCACATTTCTAATTTGTAGGTTTTTTGATTTGTTGATAAGTTTTTTTCCTTCCTAGTTCATTATGTTGATTGTTTTACACCTAGTAGAAAAACACACTCGAGGGACAGGAGTTTTGTGTGTGTGTGTGTTACAGCTACTGCAGATGTTTTCACTCAGGTTTTGCAGAACTCTTCGACCCATCATGAGAGTTCCAATGTCATTTGTTAGTTCATATTTCAGGGGACATTTTGCTTCTAACTTATGCTCATTTCTGACCCTCGTACAAACACTGATAAATGGAACTGAAGACTTGTGTTGTTGTGTTCTCACCCTTTTCTGTTATTATTTTTGGTTGTCGATCTCCCTAAGGACATCTTCTGGTTTGCATGCTGACACACCTACGACATAACTGACTCTGCATTTACACAGATAGTTATTTTTAGTTGTCACTTTCAGCCACAGTCAAACGAGGATCCTAGAAAAGGAAGTTTACAGAAACCTGCTGTCAAGAGATTGAGTCCTTGATGAGTGAGTCCTCCATGAAGTTCAATCTTCTCTGCTTAAATCAAGGCTGTAAAAACCCTGTGAAGGAAGCTTTTTGATCCAACCACAGACTGAGAAAAACAGAGAAAACTTGTATTTTATGGACTTTTTTGTCAAAAATATAAGTCACCAATCTTAACCATCCTGGATCATTTGTGGCTATGTTTTGGGTCTGAAATGTTATCGCCTGATTGTTAAAAATTTCCCAAATGATTTTTAACATTTAGGACCAAACGTTGATAAAGATTCTTTAGCATTATGGTTTAAATAAAGGGAAGTGAACTCCTTGTCATTGTGACACAGCTCACCAACTGTGACCTCTGCTTTAACCCATCACCAAAGTGAACAGTGGGCAGCTTTAAGGACCAGGGGAGCAGTGTGTGGGCACGGTGCCATACTCAGAGCACCTCAGTGGTAACTTGACAGCTGGTGGACTCGAACCTGAAGCCTTCCAGACCCAAGTCTGCTTCCTTAACCACTAACTGCCCCATAAATGTCAGCTTTGTAACAGTTAAGTTCACCAAAAGGTGCCTGAGACGTAAGAGACATTATAAGATCAAAAGCTAAGCTAAGCTAAGCTAAAACCTGGTCAATAGATTTTAAAAAGTAAGCGAAGAATTGATCGCATTAGCTACGTCAAAGCCAAAAGGCTTGTTTAGCTGGGAGGCCAACTTTGGTATAAATGTATTCTCCACGGTCAATGTCATTTGGTGATGTTAGAGTCAGATATTTCAACTCTCCATTGTTTTTCTACTAGCATGGAGGATTCCTCGGACCAGACCCACTGGGTGTCTCCAGCTCTGCTAAGCTCAGATGCTCTGACTGGTTTCTCTTCGGAAACTGGACTGCTGCCTGCGGTGGAGGAGGATGAGAGCTTTTTCTCCGGTCAGGACATGGACTACTCCGGCCTCCCTTCTTTCTTCTCCAGCCCAGGCCACAGTCGTGTATCATCCACCTACAGGCACAGCTCTGGTCAGTGCTTCAAACATTAATGATCAACCAATACAATTTGACAGCATAAAACAAATGTTTCCTTAAAATCAAATACAATAAATAAAATAATACATTGATAGAATTTGAACTGTCCAATCAAATTTATATCTGTGAACACCCTGTATACAAGCCAGTATATACTGTATATTTAACATAATATTTAAGAAATTGATTAAAAAAAAACAACTCCAAACTAATTAGGTTTTAACAGTTCCCATCACCAAGTGTTGGGCCGTGAGATGTCCTTCTTTGTGTGAATGTGTTTTTTATACCTCATCTTGACACTTGATATTTAAGGAACTCAGAATTTTTCCAACCTTCTCTAACCTGACTTGTTTTTTAATGGGTTGTGGGAACTGGTTCTATGGTCACTATTAAAATGTAAGTCTTTCAGAGAAAACAGCAAATGTTTTCTTTTGTTTTAGGCATTCAACTAAATGTTAGAGTATCGACCAAACTGAATATTTGGTTTTGGTTTTTGACGTGTACTACCTTTCCTGTTTAAACTCATGATCCTTTCCGTGTCTCTCTTTTCAAAGTTCGTCCAGTGATCAGTTCACCCAGCCTCCTCAGTAACTTCCAGCTGTTGGACAGTACTGCTGGCCACTCCCTGAGTTCACCCTACATCCCAGCCTCAGCATGGAACAGCAGTCCTCTCACCAAAACCCCACTGCACTCACACAGCCCCACCATTCTCTATAACCCCACATTCTCCTCCTCCTTCAACATTTCTAAAGATGGATACTCCTCTCCAGCCAGAGAGAGCAGGGAGAGTCCCCGGCTCCAGGAGGAGCTGAAGGTGGAACGTCTTAGTCCTTTGAGAGGACTGGGCAGCAGCAACGGCAGTAGTGGCTTTCTGAATCTTACTCCAGCTGCTGGGAGCGTATACACACCGCTGTCGTCCCACTCTCACCCTCACATGCTGAGTCCTTACGGCTCATACATGGCCAGTCCTCAGGAGTACAGCTCTGCTGCGCTGTACTCCAGCCCAGGCTCCTGGATTAGCCCCTCGTATTCTCCCAAACTACGGAACAAGATGAGGGCGACCACTCCAGGTGAGCAGTCACCCAAAAGTCAACATGTTATCATAGTAGTTAACATAGTTATGAGATGTGATAACAAAAAAAGATAGACTTTAGGATTTGTCTGCCATATTTAACTCGTCATAACGTTGGACACAAGTGGTGAATAAATAGATTTTTTTAAAGAAATGTCTGTTAGTGTCTGACCGTGACCATAAAACAGTAGAACCAGGATTTACTGCAGTTTTCTGAGAGTCCCAGTAGATTTTCTGGAATCATAAATCCATTTGCTTTACTTCATAGATTTTTCTCACAGGCAAGAACTAGAACTTATTGTTTTGTTTGATGCCTTGGTTTTTCAGACGAACCAGAACTCAACTTTCACTGCCTTCTGTCATTCAATAAAGGATGGACTGGTCCTTTTTTATTAGACAGAACCATAAAAAATGAGTAGAATGAATGTAGAAATTAGAAAATTGTATGCTCCTTCCTTGCAGCATACACATGCTAATGAATCATCAAAAAAATGTAACCTGTTTTGCATTTTTCAACACTTAATTTCATGATAATTAAAAAAAAAACAAAAAAAAAAAACAAAACCCGAATATTTAGTATTATTAATAACTGCAGCTGTACTGTAATCCTCAGTATTTTCTGCATCATGGACTCTGACAACAATGCATGTAATACTTGGTTTCAGTTTGACACCTTGTAAACACTGTGGCTTTATTGGGTTATTTCAGTGTTATTCAAACTTGTGGTTACGACACCATATGGTATCGCCTGGAATTCAAATGTGGTCACCGGAAATGTCTAGTAATTGATTGTTTTTAAAAATTACATGACAAACTAAAGCTGAAGCTGAAGTATTATAATAATTTCCCTCGTTCAAGTCTTGAGAACAAACGTATAACAAATACAATCAAAAAATAATTCCAGGAAAAATGTTTCAAATTTTTGATGTCAAAATGGGGTCTCCAGCCCAAAAAGGTTGGGAATCCTTGAGTTGATTAGATAGAAGAAGGCTTATTTATATAAAAATATATATACTTGTACTCAAACCTTAAAATGTGCCATTTATTATAATCTGTGTCTGTGTGATTTTGAACAGAGGCCAGAGAATGTGTCAACTGTGGAGCTACAGCGACCCCACTGTGGCGTCGTGACGGCACAGGTCACTACCTGTGCAATGCTTGTGGATTGTACCACAAAATGAACGGCCAGAACAGACCTCTGATTCGTCCTAAGAAAAGACTGGTACGACCCACACTGAGGCCAATCTGACTTTTTATAATAGTGATTTTAACGTTTAACATTTATTTTTATCATTTCAGATCGTTTCCTTAGTTTGTGTTGTTTCTTTTTCAGATTGTGAGTAAGAGGGCAGGCACACTCTGCGCCAATTGTCACACGAGCACAACGACACTCTGGAGACGCAACGCAAACGGCGAGCCTGTGTGTAATGCTTGTGGACTTTACTTTAAACTGCACAATGTGAGTCAGTCATCCCTCTCCTCTCTCTGTGTTTTCTGTTGAATGTGGGACGTAAAAACAGCTCTTCACTAATGACATAATTAAATGTAGTTGGCTCAATACATCACACCGTTCATATACTGTAGTCCAGGTCTGTACGACCACAAAATAATCACCGTACTTAAATAAATCAAATGAATCAGTTACTTGTTAAGGAAAGTCACATGAGAGCACTTTAAAGTGCTGTCCAAACTAGAGCAGAATAATAACCACGACAACGAAACTTACTGAAACGTTGAACATTTACAAATGGGTCTTTTTTTTACTCCAGATCAATCGTCCACTTACAATGAAGAAGGATGGAATTCAGACACGTAACAGAAAAGTCTCCAGCAAGAACAAGAAGAACAAGAAGGCCACTCTGCTGGAGCAGTACTCGGAGGTAAACCAGCAACCTTCCCTGGACAGTAACGCCGGGCCCTTCTCCTTGGGCCCTGGGACTCTCCTGACCTACAGCCACGCACCACACCTCATCCCGGCCCCTTCCCCCCTTCACCCTTCTGCGTCATTACCCTATACACACCACCTTAACTCAGGCATGGTGCCGACACTGGTGTGAGCCGAAGCAGCAGCACCTCCATGTTCTGAGGATGAAGTGCAGCAGCTTGACTGTGACCAATCTGTAAAGTAGGTTTTAACTCAGAAATGGTCACACCTCAGTCCATATTCTTTTGCCCGGTCAGGCCCACAATCTATTCAGTTAGGCCAACATGCAGAAGCGAGGTGAGCCCAGTTTTTGATGTGAGCCAGGCTTCTGCAAAATCTTGACCAACTTCACAAGTGTGGATCACTGAAACCAAATGAGTCCATGAAATGTTAGAAATAACAGCCTACTGTTAATTTAGTTTAGCCCATGTGTTTCTAAAGATGTGCTTTTGTTTATATATTTCCTCTTTATTTTCTAAGAAATTACATTTTTATATACATATGTATTATTCAAATTTTTCATTGGGCCATCGTTTGAGGCAGATAGGATTATATAACGTGGTATGCATACAGTACCTGTCATTGCTTAAAACAGTGGTCCCCAACCCCCGGGCCGCAGACCGTCACTGGTCCGTGAGTCAATTGGTACCAGGCCGCACAGAAAGAATGCATAACTTACATTATTTCCGTTTTATTTATTATCTGATTCTGAACGATTTTATTTTGAAAAATTACCGGATGCTCTCCGCCGCATTTGTCTACCACCTGATAAATGTCAAGATACTTGCCTCGGTCACATGTCTTACCAACATCCGCTACCTTCTTAAAGGTTCTGCTCCGAACGGTAACACATAATACATTACCGCTATATTGAAACCCCCAATCGAGCAAAATAAACAAAACATTATAAGTCTATTTTTAACAGAGAATTCCAGGAGTCCTACTTGAAATATGGATTTATTGCGACAGGTTGTTCCCACGCACCGAGTTAGCGGCGAGTGGCTCGCTAATGAGGCAATGACGCCTTGATACGGCTTCGCCACATGGAGACTAAGCGTTCTGCATTAAAAGACAAGCGGGGCCAGTTTTTATGCCGGTCGTATCATTTTATTTAGTTGTCTTTATCCGTCACACCTTAACGGCCGGTCCGTGAAAAACTTTCAGACATTTAACCGGTCCGTGGCGCAAAAGGCGTTTGGGACCGCTGGCTTAAAGCAGTAAAACTACACCTGAAGGTCAACTTTGTGAGGAGTAGTGGCAGCTAATGGTCGGACTGCAGATTGTGACCAACGCAAGTCTCCTCTGCTCAGCCCTTCTACCCTTCAGGGAGTTATGGTGGCCTTGCAAAAACAGATGCTACAATGTGTGGTAAGAGATCTTTTAATTTTTCCTGTTTCTGTTCAAATTCTTAAAACAGCCTATTCTAAAGTGTTTATTAATTTGTTCAACAGCAAGGGACTTTTATTATTAATAATTATTATCATTACAAATCAAAGGATGTGAGAGTTGCCTCCATCCCCTTTGGACATGATGCTGTATGTTTCTAATCTTAAAATTTGTTATGTTTGCTTTGATGAAGGATTTTTCTCTATTTCAAACAATGGTCAGGTGTTACATGTTGTTCTCATTTAATTGTTGACGTTCTGCAATAAAATAGCTGTTAAGTGAAACACGGAGATGATACTACTGTGTAAAACACTTCACATTCCATCAGAAATCTACTCGTGCTTCACTACTACAACAAGTACATTTATGGACTGTATACTAAGACATTTTAACAGTAAAACCTCCCAATTTAGTTTAGGCTTTGGGATCAATCGGACAGTTTTGTATGTTTTCCTAAATATTATCATTTTGAAATGTGTAGAAAACATCAATAAAAAATCAGTGTGCCTCATCTATGTCATCTATTTTTTAGTTATTAACCTATATCAATATTAGTTAATGTACTAATCTTTCAGATATTTTTTTCTTTTAAAGTTATACTTTAATATTAGTTACACTTAAGTATTAGGTTCACAAAGAGGGAAATTCTTCATCTTCTGGCTTCAGCCTCATGTCATAATAATAAGCATCAGGACCAATGTTGGCACGTTACTTTTAACAAGGATTAGTTATATTTACAAGTTACTTCTCCCGAAAGGTAACAAGTAACGAGTAGGTAGCTGAGATACTACACTTTAAAAGTACTTATTTATGAGGGAAAGTAGCTATTGCACTACTTGGGGGGGTGAAATTCTGCTGAAAAGTTTTGAAAATAAAATTTCAATTTTTACCATCGTGAAAAAAA